GTGCCTGCTGACCGACAATTAGCTTTATACAGTATGTCCTGGGAACTTAACCATCATGAAATCATTATTTCTCAAACCTCGGCAACTTTTAAAATGTGTATAGTGGTGGCCAAAATTGTGGAAACCTTTTGGGAAAAGAGTACAGTAGAAATGCCAGCTTTGGTTAAGTTTCCACCCATTTTTTATTCTAATTTCTTTATAACTGTAGCCTTAATAATACTTAATAATACTATTTTACATCATTTTCTGGGCGACCAGTCAACTCTTTGCACCATGACTTGAATTTTGTTACGTTTTACAAGCTCATTCAATGAAAGAACACAAAAAAACCCAACCAACTTGATAGTGATCACCTAACACACTGACAAATGTCCTCCTCTCAGCTTTAATACACGACATCAATCACTGGATCCTACTGTGATCTGATTGGCTCATTGCCAAAACAAGATGACACCCAATTGGCTCTCTAAATACTCATGCCCATTGGCTACAATCAGAGGAAGAAAAGCTACCTGATATCAACCTAAGCAAGTTGAGCTTCCTTTACTGGTTATTTGGCTATACCTTTTCACAGAATGCAGTACAGATAATTGAACAAACTGTGTTGCACTACATTCTTGATTAAATTATCTTTCCATTGATATATAATTTTATGGTACTACCCCCCCCAAAAAAAGTGGTGTTATTAGTCATCAAACCTCAAAAATACGCTTTTCCCAAAAGGTTTCCACAATTTTGGCCACTACTGTAGACTTCAACTCCCAGAATTCTCCAGCCAGCCACTGCTAGTCATTATTCTGAGACACCTGTCTCGGAACTGTAAAGTTGAAGGGAATAATAAAGATCATCAAGTCCATCCCACCTCATGCTGAAGAGCAGGCAGGGGTCTCCGATCTTGGTAGCTTTAAGACTTGCGGACCTCAACAACAATCAGGAGATGCAAGAAACGTACCCATGGCATAAAGGCATAAAGGCAACACTCAAAGCTTGGAGAACAAACAGGATGAACTAAAAGCAATAGTACACAACGGAGGGTATGACACAGTTGGCATAACAGAAGCCTGGTGGGACGAAACCATGAATGGAAAGGACTGATAGATGGTTACAAATTGTTCAAAAGAAATAGATCCACAAAAAGGAGGGGGAGTCGCACTATATGTAAGAGAACATGAAATGCGCGTGATCCAAGATAAAATCCCTCCAGAATGTGGCATTGCCATAGGTATATATTATAGACCACCCAACCAATGGTTGGAAACTGATCAACCTGGAACTAAGGAGAAACTTCCTGACAGTGAGGACAATCAATCAGTGGAACAGCTTGCCTCCAGAAATCGTGGGCGTTCCATCACTGGAGATTTTTAAGAAAAGACTAGACAATCACCTGTCTGAGACGATGTAGGTCAGTGATGGTGAACCTTTTAGAGCAGTGGTTCTCAACCTGTGGGTCGCGACCCCATTTGGGGTCGAACGACCATTTCACGGGGGTCGCCAAACAAGGCTGTCCGCCATTTTTTCCCCCTTTTCTTTAGCTGTGCTATTCCCTCTTATTCTATTGGCTTTTGAAGGCCAATAGAATAGATTCTATTCAAGAGACTCTATTCTATTGGCGTTCGAAAGCCAATAGAATCTATTGGCTTTCGAAAGCCAATAGAATAGCCTGTCTTGAATAGAGTCTAAACTAATTCTATTGGCTTTCAAAAGCCAATAGGAATTGTCCAGGCTGTCTTTGCCCTGCTGAGCCCGCCAAATGTCCCATTCTGCAAATGGTGCGGCACCAGTTGAGTAGTCCTCGACTTACGACCAGTTGAGTAGTCCTCGACTTACGACCAGTTGGGAGTCGCAGCATTAAAAAGGTTGAGAACCACTGTTTTAGAGACTGTCTAAACTCAACCCAAAACCCACTTATGCATTGTCGGGTGCTGGGTGGATGTGGCCCATTGGGTGGGTGTGGCCCATTGGGTGGGTGTGTAGTAACAGCAGACTGGGTGGGACTGAAAAGTTCAATCAGTCAATTCCAACTTTGCGAGATCTTTTTTTTCCCGCGAGAAGTTGAAATTGGCTCATTGATTGAACCTTTTTTTTTTGTACACAGCGGCAGAGGCCTAAAGCAAAAAGGTTTTATAAAACCCACCTGAAGGCCTAGGACTGGGGCGACAGCGCGCATGCCCACAGAGAGGGCTCTGAGTGCCGCCTCTGGCACCCGTGCCATAGGTTCGCCACCACTGGTGAAGGTTCTCCTGCTTGAACAGGGCTGGACTGGAAGAAGACCTCCAAGGTCCCTTCCAGCTCTAGTCTATTCTAATTAGAAGAAATAGATGAACTCTTTGCCAACCAGTTAACAAATGCATATAGGAAGCATACCACAATAGTAATGGGAGACTTCAACTACCCAGATATCAACTGGGAGACAAACTGCAGCAAACGGGAGATCAAACAGATTCTTAACCAACCTAGCCGACAACTTTATCACCCAAAAGGTAAGAGGAGGGAACTAAAAGTAAAGCCATACTGGATCTAATCCTTGCTAATCGAGAAGAAGTGAGTTGAAGTTGCCGGAACCTTGGGTGAAAGCGACAATGTTATACTGAAATTCAATATAATGCAAACACAATAGAAAATAATTCAACTTCAAAAGAGCTGATTTTAACAAATTCAAGAGAACCTAGGAAAGATTCCATGGATGAAAATCCTAAAGGGGAAAACAACTCAAGAAGTGTGGAAACACTGAGAAGTACTGTATGATCATAGGAGCCCAGTCCAGCACAATACCACTGAAAAAGAGAAACCAGAAATTCAAGAGAAAACCAGCATGGCTGCACAAAGCTCTCTGTGACAAACTGAAAGACAAAAAGGACAAGTATTAAAAAATAGAAAGAGGGACACATAACTAAGGCTGATTATCAGCAGACAGTCAGAACATGCAAAGATAAAGTCAGGAAAGCAAAGGCTCAGAATGAACGAAGACTTGCCACAGAAATCAAGGACAATAAAAAAAAAAGTTTCTTCCAACATACTAACAAGAAAAAAGTCAAGGAAACTAGGTCCACTAAAGAGAGAAGATGGCAAGGAAGTAATGGGCAGTAGGGAAAAAGCAGAGCTGCTTAACTCATTCTTTGCATCAGTCTTCACACAAAAAGAAATTATAGCCCAACATACCCAAAAAAACTACTGCAAAAGACAAACTAGAAACAAAAATTAAAATAAGCAAGAAAATGGTAAGAGAACACCTCCGACCTTGACGAATATAAATCACCAGGAGGGATAGATTACATCCCAGAGTTCTGAAAGAGCTGGCAGATGTTATCTCAGAACCGTTGCACCACATCTTTCATAAATCCTGGAGCACTGGGGAAGTACCTGATGATTGGAAACGGGGCTAATGTGGTTCCCATCTTCAAGAAAGGGGGAAAAAAAAACACCCAGGAAACTACAGACCAATCAGTGTAACATCAATATCTGGGAAGATCTTGGAAAAGATAATCAAAAAACCGATCTGCGAACAATAGAAGCAAAGTTATAACCGGTAGACAGCACAGGTTTGTTAAAAACAGATCATGCCAAACCAATCTTATTTCATTCTTTGATAAAGTGACCAAATTAGTAGACCAGCGAAACGCTGTGGACATAGTATACTTCGACTTCAATAAGACGTAAGGGCCTTAACTGACAAAAGTAGGCCACAACCTGCTGCTTGGTGAGCTAGAAAAGCTAGAAAAAGATGGGATAGACAACAACAACATCAGATGGATCTGTAGCTGGCTGACAAACCATACTCAGCGAGTAGTCCTCAATGGCACTACTGTTCTATCCCAGCCTATAGTTGTCCTTGTTAAAGACACAAGGACCAAACCCCTGTTGATAAAATAGGCTGGAGACTTTAAAATAAAACAAGCCCCTTTTAATATGGATGACAAACCTGCCAAATAGTCCAAAACACAAACAGCAAAACTCAATCCAAAATGAAGGAAATAGTCCACAGGAAACACGATGCAAACAGAAGAGTAGTCACAAGCAAGACGAACAGACTAGGATCCAAAGAAGTACTTTGCAAACGGTTGCCTTCAGCAACCAGCACCGCCCACACCTCCTCTTTTTATACAACAGTCCCAAGGCGTTGCCTCTCAGTGCCTTCTCCTTTTACCCTGGAGTTGCTGTATTGACTGCTGCTGATTTACTCTCGCTAATTGACGACGTGTGCGTGCATCAATTAGCATGTCCATCAGGTGTGAGTCCTCTGAGTCTGACTCATTCTCCTCACATAGCTGAGCTTCATCAGGAACACGACTGGAGGGCCCAGGCTCTGCATCAAACCGTGAGTCCTGTAATTCATCAGAGCCTCCCTCTGCCCCCGATGGCCCTTCAAATGCCTCCACCACCTCCTCCTCAGATTCCTCAGACTCAGCTGTTGGGAGCACAGGCTGGCACGGAATCAACAACAACTATATCCATATGGAGAGAAGTAAGCATTGGGGTACCACAAGGCTCCATCTTAGGCCCAGTCCTTTTTAATATCTTCATAAATGACTTAGATGAGGGAATAGAAGGGGAACTCATCAAATTGGCAGATGACACCAAATTGGCAGGGGTAGCCAACACCCCAGAAGACAAGCTCGGGATTCAAAAAGATCTTGACAAAGGAATTCTGGGAGTTGAAGTCCACAAGTGTTAAAGCAGGGGTCTCCAAACTTGGCTCGTTTATGACTTAGCTTTTTTGGCCGCTGCTGCACACGGCTGGCTCATGGTCAAGTGATCGTCCACTAGGACTCCAAGGTCCCTCTCCCAGTTGCTGTTCTTGAGTCAGGTCTCACCTAATCTGTACTTAAAACCTTTTGATTTTTCCTGCCTAAATGTAAAACTTTGGTTTTCTCGACATTAAAACTCATTTTGTTGGGTAGGGCCCATTGTTCCACTTGGTCAAGATCTTTCTGAATCTCCTTCCGTCTCACTGTGAAACAGTCCCCAAGCTTACGTCCCTTCTTCGGCTTTCTCTTCTGCAGAGCTCTTTGGCGCTGTCAAATGGCGAAAGGATGCGAGCCATTTCGGATTACTTGAACAGTAGCAAAAAAAGGAAGACAGAAAAAGAATACGGCACAGATTACGTGAGTGACTTCCTTTTTCCGAGCAAGCAGGCCTTAGGACGAGGGTTGGATGCCACTCGGCTTCAGATTTTTTGCAAGTGGGTGACGGAGTTGGTCTAGGTCCTTGTTGCTACAAAAACCTGGATATTTTTCCTTCTGAAACTTGTAGCCCAGATGAAAATACAGGTAGTCCTCCACTTATGACCACAACTGAGCCCAAGATTTGTGTGGCTAAGGTGAGACTGTTGTTAAGTGAGTTTTGCTCCATTTAATAATGATGATGATGTTGTTGGAAGGGACCTTGGAGGTCATCTAGTCCAACCCCCTGCTCAGGCAGGAAACCGAATACCATTTCAGACAAATGGCTGTCCAGTCTCTTCTTCAAAACTTCCATTGTTGGAGCATTCACCACTTCTAGAGGCAGGTTGTTCCACTGGTTAATTCTTCTAACTGTCAGGACGTTTCTCCTTAGTTTACGACCTTTCTTGCCACAGTTGCTAAGTGAGTCACTGCAGAGACTGGACAGCCATTTGTCTGAAATGGTATAGGGCACAGGTCGGCAACCTGCGGCTCCGGAGCCGCATGCGGCTCTTTGAGCCTTCCCCTGCAGCTCCCAGCCTCCTCTGCCTTTGCAGAGAGAGACAGAGGCAGAGAGAGGAATTGCGCTTCCCTGCTTCTCTCTCTCTCTCTCTCTCTCTCTCTCTCTCTCTCTCTGTGTGTGTGTGTGTGTGTGTGTGTGTGTGTGGTTTTGTGTAAAAGAGAGTGCACTCACAGTGTTCTCCGAGGAGCTGAAAAGCTTACTGGGCGGAGCTCCTCCCTTTGCTGCGTCTCTGCAGGAAGCAGGAAGGGCAGGAGGGAGCTAGCTAGCCCAGCTAGGCTGACTCAGGAATTCTGGGAGTTGAAGTCCATGAGTCATAAAAGAGACAAGGTTGCCTACCCCTGATCTTGTTGGACAACAGCTTGAAGCTTGTCAGGTGAGCAGCAGATAGGAGAGGGGGGGGGAGAAAGAGAGAGAGAGAGAAAGAGAGAGAGAGAGAAAGAAAGAGAGCGGGGGAAGAGGAGTGACAGACCAAGGGCAGATAGAGAGGGAGAGAGAGAGAGAGAGAGACCCTTTTGACATCTAAAATGAAGATAACACTGCATATATCCTTTTTTTACTCTCTCTCTGTGTGTGTGTGTGTGTATACATACATACATATACATATATCTATATATACACACACACACATACATACACACACACAAACACACAAACACACACACACCTATAATAAAGGTAAAAAAGGATATATGCAGTGTTATCTTCATTTTAGATATCAAAATGGTTTTGCGGCTCCCAGTGTTTTGTTTTTGGTGGGAAACGGGTCCAAGTGGCTCTTTAAGTGTTTTGGGTTGCCTACCCCTGGTATAGGGTTTCCTGCCTGAGCAGGGGATTGGATTAGATGACCTCCCAGGTCCCTTCCAACATCATCATTATTATTACTATTATTATTATTATAGTTGTTAAGTTAGTCACATGGTTGTTAAGTGAATCTGGCTTCCCCCATCGACTTTGCTTGTCAGAAGTTCATCAAAGGGGGAATCACATGACCCCCAGGACACTGCGACCATTGTAAATACGAGTCAGTTGCTAAGCGTCTGAATTTCAATCACGTGATCATGGGGATGACGCAGTGGTCCTAAGTGTGAAAAGCGGTCATATGTCATTTGTTCCAGTGTCGTCATAACTTTGAGTGGACACTAAATGAATTGTTTTAAGTCAAGGATTACCTGTAACATATCGGACAGGTAGTTCTCAACTTACAACTACTTGTTTAGTGACCGAAGTTACAACAGCCTTGGGGGAAAAAAAGGGACTTACGACCAGTTTTCATACTTAAGACTGTTTCAGCATCCCCTCAGTCACATGATAAAAATTTTAGCAGTCGGCCACCAGCGTATATTTAATATTACCATTTATTTAATTAATCAATTAACAATTGCCATTTATCTGAAACAGTATAGGGTTTCCTGCCTGAGCAGGGGGTTTGACTAGGTGACCTCCAAGGTCCCTTCCAGCAACAACAACATCATCATCATTATGATTATTATGATTATTTATTTATTTATGAGACTTATATACCGCTTTAAGTGCAAGCACTCTCTAAGGGGTGTACGCTAGTAAGCAATGTATATATATATTTACATTGCCTCCAACAATCTGGGTCCTCATTTTACCTACCCTGGAAGGATGGAAGGCTGAGTCAACCTTGAGCTGATGAGATTTGAACCGCTGACCTGCTGAACACAGTCAGCTAAAGTGGCTTGCAGTACTGCACTCTAACTGCTGCGCCACCTTGGCTCCTTATGATTATTATTATATTTACTATATGCTTATGATACGGCTGCAGTGTCCCAGGCTCATACGATCCCCATTTTCAACCTTCCCAGACATTTTTCAACGAGCCGAGAGACAATGGGGGAAGCCAGACTTGTTTAACGACCATTTGATTCACTTAATAACTGGTGATTCCCTCAATGACCATGCGATTCACTTCACAACTGATGCATTTCACTTAACAACCGTGGCAAAAACAGATGAAAATCAGGGGTGACTTCCGTAATGACCATATGGCCTAGTGACGGACGTTTGCATCCCAGTTGTGGTTATAAGTTGAGGACTACCCGTATGAAATTTTTCTTGTTCTTCTGCAGGTTGTGGCCTTCAACTACGAATCCTGTTCCGATGAACGAAATGTCCCCTTCCCCGCTTCCTGGATGTCACTGAGAAATAAATCTCTTTTTCTGTCCCCTCCCCCTTTTGATTTCTTTCAGGGTAGCGATGGAGAGAAAAGCGAAGATAATCTGGTCGTGGATGAGGTTGGTTTTACTTAGTAGATATCCTGGTGTGTGTGTGTGTGTGTGTGTGTGTGTGTGTGTGTGTGTTTGTGTGTGTTTGTGTGTGTGTGTTAAGTTCGAAAAATGCTTTAAAGAGCAATGAAGCACCCGGGGGAGATAGACCAGTGAGTGTAGGAGGAACTAGAAGGGTGGAGTATATATTGAAGCAACAATGAATGGCTTAAAGGAGCATTTCTTGAAGTTGTAAGATATGTGGACTTCAACTCCCAGAATTCCCCAGCCAGCCATGCTGGCTGGGGAATTCTGGGAGTTGAAGTCCACAAGCCATAAAAGGGCCAGGTTTGACAAAACACTCGCTTCAAGGACCTATTGCCAAATTCCTCCTCTGCCACCTGAAAAGTATTCATTTATTTGTTGGATGTATATGCTTTCTTATATCCTATATACAGGGGTCTTTAAACTTGGCCCTTTTGTGACTTGTGGACTTCAACTCCCAGAATTCCTCAGCCAGTGTGCCTGGCTAGGGAATTCTGGGAGTTGACGTCCACATATCTTAAAGTGGCCAAAGTGGAAAACCATTGCTCAAGGATAGGCTTAGAGCAGGGGTCTTCAAACATGGCCCTTTGATGACTTGTGAACTTCAACTCCCAGAATTCCTCAGCCAGGCACGCGCGTGCCTGGCTGAGGGATTCTGGGAGTTGAAGTCCACAAGTCATGAAAGGGCCAAGTTTGAAGACCCCTGCTATATAGGACATACAAGTAGTCCTCAATTTACAACCGTTCAAAGTTACAACTGCATTGGAAAAAGTTACTTTTGAGCTTTTTTTTCACAGTTATAACCATTGCAGCATCCCCGTGGTTACCTGATCAAAATTCAGGTGCTCAGCAACTGACTCATACTTACAACGGTTGCAGTGTCCAGGACTCACGTGATCTCCTTTTGTGACCTTCTGACGGGGGAAGCCAGATTCACTTAACAACCCGTGTTGCTAACTTAACCGCTGCAGTGATTCAGTTAACAACTGTGGCAAGAAACATTGTCAAATGGGGCAAAACCCACTTAACGAATGTCTCACTTAGCCACAGAAATTTTGGGCTCCAGTTTGGTCGCCAGCCGAGGACTATCTGTATAATTTTCCTCCTTCCCCTCAGATCTCACAGCAGTGACCTGAGGGGTGAGTTAGGCTGAAAGAGATCGTCAAGGCTGGGGGTTCAGGGGGTGACATTGGGGCAGTCCATTCAGTCTCAGCCTAACCTACCCCGCAGGATTGTTGTTTGGAGTACCAGGGGGGAGCCCTGTGTCTGCCACCTGGAGGTTTGAGAAAAGACTCAGAATTCAAAGATAGAATAGGTGGTGTTGTTTTTTTTTCAAACTAGGCCGCTTGACAACCTGAGAACTTCAACTCCCAGAATTCCCTGCTGGGCTGAGGCATTCTGGGAGTGGAAGTCCACAGGTGTTCAAGAGGCCCAGCTTGAAAAACACTGTGAAAAATAATACATATGAGGGGAGAGGGGCAGAAAACAGGGAGATGAGGAAGATTAAACCCTAACCTAGGTCTTCCCTCTCCCCACCACAGGATCCTTCTTCGCCCCACAGCGTCCAGTCCTTCTCCTCCCGAGAAAATGGGGTCGACAAAGCTACTTTGCATCGGAAAGAGCTGGGCCACCACAGCCCCACATCCATGGCGTCTTCCAGCAGTGTCTCCCCAACTCGCCCCACCAAGGAACTGGCCACAGTATGTCATGAGGAGGGATGGGTTCCTGGGTGTGCAGGTGTGGGGGTGGACTACAACTTCCATCATCCCCAGGCAGCTACGCCAAACAGTGGGGGCTGGGCTGTTCTCCCACACCGTGCAATAGCACCCCTGTTTGATATTAGTCTTCATTTATGCCCAGTGCCTCCCAAATATTGTGGGACTACAATTCCCAGAAGTCCTTGCTGGCTGGGATGGTTGGAAGGGCAGGATTCACATCTGGGGAGGGGGGGCACCAGCTTGGAGAAGGTGCGGCATTCTTGGTGCGCTCTGAGTTTGAATGGTTTTTTTTAAATTGTTTCATTACCAAACTTGGTAACGCCATCAGTGTTAGAAGGGAATGGGATTTATGGAGTGGTGGAGATGGGGAGGAGGAGGAAGGAAGGAAGAGAAAGAGGGGGAGGACTGTGCAGGGGTCCTTGGTTCTCTCTGAGCTTGCTTGTTGTGCTTGCAGACGCTTTATGACCCAGCAAGGTAACATCATCAGTGCTAGTAAGGGATGGGGTTTACTCTCGTTTTGTATTCTAGGGCAGGGGTCTTCAAACTTGGCCCTTTTATGACTGGTGGACTTCAACGCCCAGAATTCCTCAGTCGGCCATTTTGATGAAACTGCAGGCTTGGATCCAGACCAGGGGTCTTCAAACTTGGCCCTTTTATGACTGGTGGACTTCAACGCCCAGAATTCCTCAGCCAGCGTGCCTGGCTGAGGAATTCTGGGAGTTGAAGTCCACCAGTCATAAAAGGGCCAAGTTTGCAGACCCCTGTTCTAGTGGCTTGCCCTGCCAGTATTGGTGGGAGGGTTCTTGGTAGTTCCTTGATTAAACTATTGTTTATTGTTGGCTTGTTTGGCAGTCCTTTGCTTGGGGTATTGCTCACTACTTGATTGTTGGTCTGACATAAATCTTGGAGTTAATCTCTGCTTATCTGGGTGTTGATTGCTGGTGGGAAGATCGTTTGGTATCTTATTTTTCCTCTTTGGCTTTTTGATGGACTCTTGAACGGTGCATAGATGTTGTTTATCTCTATGTGTCTGTTGAGGGCTGATTTATCTAAGTGCCAAGGAATTCTCTAGTGTTTTTAGACTTGCCTTGGTCTAGGGCAGAGGTCCCCAACCTTTTGGGCACCAGGGACCGGTTCCATGGAGAGAGGTTTTTCCGTGGACTGGAGGGTACGTGGTTTTGTGTGCTGCCTGCACCCTGTGGATGGGGCTTTCCTTGTTTGTGCGGACCGGTTGCTGGCATGCCACAGCCCAGTACTGGTCCACAGACCGGGGGCTTGGGACCCCTGGTCCAGGGTGGTCACAATTCCCAATTGGAGAAGATGGCTTTCCACTAATCTTCCATTAGATCATTGTTTTTCAAACTTAGCCACTTTCAGATAAGTGGACTTCAACTCCCAGAATTCCCCAGCCAGCATGCTGGCTGGGGAATTCTGGGAGTTGGAGTTGACAGGTTTTAGAGTTGCCCAGGTTTGAGAAACACGAATCTAGGTCCAGGTGAAGCCATCAAACCAGCCAGCTGGTGCCCAGACCAATTTATCCATTAGGCACAACAAGCACAGTACTTAGAGCCCACAAAACATTTTATTTTTTTTCCCCCTGTTAATAAAAATGAAGTAGAGGTTACGTATTTTGTACTTTTATTACAGCATTCATTTTGTTGGCTTTTAAGGGAAAAAAAAAAAACCCAGGTGAGGAGAATGGACTCCGCTTCAGCATCAAATCAACAATCTAGTGTAAAAGTTAGTAACTGACTTCATAATGAATTAGCAGCAGTGGATTATTGCAAGATAATGCACATATGGCGTACTGTTTTTTGTTTCTCAGTAAAAAAAAACACCAAACTATTGAAAACCCTATGCCAGTGATGGCGAACCTTTTAGAGACCGAGTGCCCAAACTTCAACCCAAAACCCACCTATGCATCGTCGGGTGCCGGGTGGGCGTGGCCCATTGGGTGGATGTGGCCCACTGGTGGGCGTGGCTACAGTGGTCATGGCAGATGGGTGGGCATGGCCAGGGTGAGCATGGCCAGCTTGATGTTGCTCGTGGGGAGGGACACCTGTGGGGGCCAGGCAGGGTTGGGGGAGATCCAGGGGTCTCTGGTGGGTGGGGCAATGGGCAGGAAGCTGGTTCTGCAGGGTGAGGCGAGGCAGGGCGGGGGTGCCATGTCGCAGGGCAAGGTGAGGCAGGGGCCAGGCGGCCGCTGCCTGACACCATCAGTCCCCGCACACAAAGGCCAGCGAGCGCATGGGTGCTGGGATGCATCCGGCCACGTGAGACCTCGGCCACGTGGGACCTCGGCGGCTGGTTGAAGAGGACAGTTGCCATCTCCAGGGCATGGCGCGCGTGCCCACAGAGAGGGCTCCGAGTGCCGCCTCTGGCACATGTGCCATAGGTTCACCACCACTGCCCTATGCAATATCATTTTTAATCCTATTGCTTATTTTGGAGGGAGAGGTCCAAAAGGCAAAAATACCTAGAGACACCTCCCCCCCCCCAAGCCATGCAGTTAACCCTCTCTTACAACCATCCATTTAAGTTCAGAGTGACAACAGCTTCAGGAAAAGTAATTTATGACCTATCCTGGATAATGCAGTTACATTATTACAATTCGGGTGCTTGGCATCAAGCTGATATTTACAACAATTGCCATGTCTTGAGGTCACATGATCACCCTTGGCAACCTCCCCATTCGATTTCCATTAAGCAGAGTCAGTTGGAAGAGCTGGAGTCTCTTAATCACCATGTGATTCACTTAACATCCACTTTACAACGCCGTGGTGAGGCCACACTTGGAATACGGCACCCAGTTCTGGTCACCACGATGTAAAAAAGATGTGGAGACTCTAGAAAGAGTACAGAGAAGAGCAACTAAGATGATCAGGGAACTGGAGGCTAAAGCATATAAGGAACGGTTGCTAGAATTGGGCATAGTTTAATGAAGAGAAGGACGAGGGGGGACATGATAGCAGTCTTCCAATATCTCAGGGGCTGCCCCAAAGAAGAGGGAGTCAAGCTATTCTCCAAAGCGCCTGAAGGCAGGACAAGAAGCAACGGATGGAAACTCATCAAGGAGAGAAGCAACCTAGAACTAAGGAGAAACTTCCTGACAGAACAATTAACCAGTGGAACAACCTGCCTCCAGAAGCAGTGAATACTCCAACACTGGAAGTTTTTAAGAAGAGACTGGACAGCCATTTGTCTGAAATGGTATAGGGTTTCCTGCCTGAGCAGGGGATTAGACTAGATGACCTCCAAGGTCCCTTCCAACTTTATTATTATTATGGATCATCGCATAGTCAGCCAGATGTTCAGACTGGATTTGGCATTTTGTCTACCTATCGAGTCCTTACCCAGGACCTGGGATAGGCAGATGTGGATGTTTGATGGTATTACAGATATCGTCGCAGGATGGAAGCAGTTCCTAGTAAGGCCGCCTTTTGCAATTGACTAATAGCGAATTTGTCAATGCCAATGGTGTTCAAGTGGTGCTCCAGTTGTTTTGGGATTGCACCCAAGGAGCCTATTACTATTGGTACTACCCTTGCTTGCTTTTGCCACAGTCTTTCTATTTCTATTTGTAGGTCTTTGTATTTTGTTATCTTCTCTAGTTCTTTCTCTTCTATTCTGCTGTCTCCAGGCACTGCCACGTCCACTATCCAGACTTTTTTGTCTTTCTTATCGACAATTGTTAAGTCTGGGGTGTTATGTTGCAGGTGCTTGTCTGTTTGAATTCTGAAGTCCCAGAGCAGTTTAATTTTATCATTTTCTATGACTTTCTCTATTTTATGATCCCACCAGTTTTTGCTTACAGGCAAATGATATTTTTTGCAGATCTTCCAATGCACCATTGTTGTTATTATTATTATTATTATTATTATTATTAGTAGTAGTAGTAGTAGTAGTAGTAGTAGTAGTAGTAGTAGTAGCAGCAGCAGCAGCAGCAGCAGCAACAGTATTGTTAAGAAAAGACTGGACAGCCACCAATCTGAAATGGTATAGGGTTTTCTGCCTGATCAGGGGGTTAGACTAGATGATCTCCAAGGTCCCTTTCAACTATTTTATTTATTTTAATTTTATTATTACTACTACTACAACCACATGACTCACTCAACAACTGCAGTAAAAAGGCTCATAAAATTGGCTCCTGTCCTGTGATGACTCACTTTATGCAGCGATGGAAATTCTGATCCTAGCTGTGGTCATGAGTTAGCTCTACTGCAGTCCTGGGCAGTGGGTGTGGCCAAGCAGCCTGGATAGTTCCTATTGGCCAGGCCGAGCTTTCTAAGGCCTGGAGGGTGGGAGCAAGGGGTCAGCCACAGAGTATTCACCAAGTACAGGTAGTCCTCGACTTACGACCACAGTGGAGCCCGAAATTTCTGTCGTTCCGCGAGACATTTGTTAAGAGAGTTTTGCCCCATTTTTCGGCCTTTTTTTTGCCACGGTTGTAAATGAATCACTGCAGTTGATAATTAGTCACCCGGTCGGTAAGTGAATCTGGCTTCAAAGGGGATCTCATGACCCAGGGACACAGCGACGGTCATAAATATGAACCAATTGCCTAGTGTCTGAATTTGGGCTCACATGATCACGGGGTCGTAGCTGTTAAAAAAATGGTCCTAAGTCACTCTTTTTCAGTGCAGTGGTAACTTTGAACGGTCACTAAACGAATCGTCGTAAGTCGAGGGCTGCCTGTGCTGCATGGGAGCTCCCTTTGGGAGCAGGAGGAGAGCGCCACCATCCTTCCGTCGCTTGCAAAGAGGAAGTGATGTGAGTTTGTCAGAATCCCTCCGCTAACATCAGGGCTGGCGAGAGGCATTCCCTCTTGGGGCCCTGGAGGTTTTCCAGACCTGGATTTTGGCAACGGCAGGGCCTGAACAGCTGCAGGGGAAGCCGGCTGCTGGATTGAAGAAATGTTGGGTTTCTCCCCCACACACACACATACGCACCCGCAACCCTCTTGGCCATTCCCCCCCCCCCCA